CCAAAATGGTCCCTTAACTATAGCGAAATTACGAATTTGGTCCCAAGTTAACGGTTGACTAACGGTCAAACTAACGGAGGACCAAATTGGTTAAAATTTTTAAAGGTGAGGGACTTAATTGGTTAAAAAAAATAGTCAAGGACCAAATTGTTAATTGGCGCTATAGTCAAGGGACCATTTTGGTGATTAACTCAACAATCAATATGAATGTTTGATTATTAGTTTTTGTAATAGTTTATTGTTCCAAAATGCTAAAATTCAAAAAGCTACTGAAAGTAATTTTTTCAATTAACTTTTTAAGAAAGTATTTTGTATGTAATAAGCAAACAACTAATTACTAAACACTTTTCTACAATCAGTTATACTATCAACTAATCAAACATACTAACTAAATCAGCTAACCGCTATCAACTAAGAGCCATTTACTAAACACCTCCTAAAACTCTAATGACACGTTTGGTTGCGAAATAGACCTGAAATAAAATAACATTTTCAATAATAGGCATATTCTTTTATTTGGCAAGGATTTCTATTCCCAAAAACAATGTTCCTGAAGTTGACCTATTCCCTCTACAAGAGGAATAGCTATTGAGTTAATACCCAAAATCGTCCTCGACTATAGTGGTTTTTCTCAATTTCGTCCTAAACGACTTTGATGACCTAATATCGTCCCTGACTTTTGTGTTTCGCTCAATTTAGTCCCAGACTTTTGTGTTTTTGCTCAATTTAGTCCTTCATTTGTTATTTTGTCTATTTGGTGTTAAATAAATAGACAATTCAGTAATTTTAATATTGGCATCTCTTTACTCATAGACATGTGAATTGCGAAATCTTTTTTTTTTTTTTATGAATTACTCCCAGAATTACTCCTAAAACTGCGAATATAAAATTTGATTTGCAGGTCCGGGAGTAATTCTGGGTGTAATTCATACAAAAAAGAGGAATTTCGCACTTCATAAGTTGAAAGTAAAGAGAGATCAATATTGACATATTGAATTGTCCCTTTATTTAACACCAATTTGACGGAATAACAAATGGAGGACTAAATTGAGCGAAACACAAAAGTCTGGGACGATATTAGGTCACCCAAAGTCGTTTAGGACGAAATTGAGAAAAACCACTATAGTCGAGGACGATTTTGGGTATTAACTCAATAGCTATTACTAGATCCCTGATATTAAGTTATTCCCAGTCCTCATTAAATTCAGTTAATACCAAAGCCCATACGATTTTGTGACTTGTGAGACAGTTTTCAAGCTGCAATCCTACGTAACTACTACTCCTATAAATAGATAACGCAGATCGGTTAAGCAGAATGTACATCCATATAAAGCGCCGGTTCCTATCGGAACACCTTAACAGTATACTCTCGCGCCTATGTAATCCCAATTTCCATTATCTTCTTCCTTTCGCCATTTCAATCTTTCCATCTTCTCAAATTATCCAAATAACTTAACCAACGCTAGGTATAAGTTTCGTATCTGTACTGTACATACGCATATACTTACAATTATACGCCTCTATTAGCGTATGGATTTGATGGAGGAGGATGCGGCGGCGACGATGACGACGAACAATCCCGATGACGAGACGGAATTCCACGACGCGGCCGATGAATTCCCGTTCGACGATTGCTGCGACGTGTTTTCGGATGCAGAACCGGAACCGGAACCGACGGAAACGGATCCTAGCGGGTCGGTAACCTACCCGGAGCCGGAAGTGTTGATCGAAAATCAAGATTCTCATCCACCGGCGACGAATCTCCGGCGTCGACGAACGGTTTCCCGCGGTGCATCCAGCTTAGACGCTCCGGATCCTAGTTCATCGGTGAGTTTAGAAAACGGTTCGAATTTGAGCGAAACGAGCATGGTAGTTTCCAAGGAAATGAAGGAAAACGAGAGCCTGGAGAATTTGGAATTGGAATCCAATAAAATGAACGAAACTGAGATGCCGGGAAATTTGGATCCTGTTGAGCTCAGTGTGAGCTCAGGGAGTGTAGAAAGTAGCTTGAGCGAAGAAAGGAAACCGAGTTCCGTCATTCCGGATGGACAATATGATGGACTAAATAACTTTCAGCGAGTTGATTTACATACAAGAGAAACTGATGATTCCAATATTCTGGTAATTTTAGCTGACCTAGTGATAAAGGCTATAGCATTTCAAGTTAATTTGCTTATAAGCTTTATAAGTTTGAGCATGAAGTTGTTTTTATTCCCAATACGAACAGTTTACTCCACCTATACGCTTGTGATGGATCCATTTCGTGTTGTGAGGTGTGGGAAACGGTATTTACTTCAAAAGAGTGTTAGACTTTTCAGTTATGTATTTGGAAATGCTTTGTCTTTTGTTTCTGAATGGTTTAAAGAAAATAAATCAGTGTGGAGATTTGGGCTGAAATGTGGGTGGGGATTCTTGTGGTCAGTATATGTTGCCGTTGTTTTGGTAGGGTTGCTGGTGTTGGCCTTTATTACAGGTGGTGTCTTGTTAAGTTATTTGGTGGAAGAACCAATAAAGATGGTGGAGAATTTAAATTTTGATTATACAGAGAAAAGCCCTCTGGCATTTGTGCCAATTATGGGATGCCAGGGGGTGAATGGGCTAATTGATTTTAGGGGTCAGGTGGATGCTGGCAAGGGTTATGGGGTGCATGTTATCCCTCCTAAGCATAAGTTGCAGGCCACTATTAAATTGACACTTCCTGAGTCAGATTACAACAGAAATCTTGGAGTTTTTCAGGTATGCTATCTCCAACCGTTGAGGTTGAATGCTCGAAGTTCTTCATTTTTTAAATCCATTTTATTGTCCTGGATGGTGCTAGGAATGCCCAAAATGTTAGTCCTTTATTGCTTTTTCTCTAACATAGATGAGAGCAAGTGTTCATTGAATACAGAGATAGATTGATCATAAAAAACAATTTTTGGAGGAGTATAATTATAAGCCTGGTGCAAAGCATTACACTTTCACTTGTTTCTTTCAAATTCACTTGTCTAGACTCTTGACCATTGCATAGATTCTGGTCTGTGTTTTTCTGATGAACAGTTGAACACTGCTAAATATGGGGAGAAAGAATATACTAAGTGGAGTATAAAAAAATGACATTGCTTGTGCAACAGTTTGAGTCATTGGGTGTAGGTTTTCAGGTTGACGGTGGTTAGATATATTGGAAGCTGGCTTAAATAAGTTCTTGCATCAATTATATCTTCTGAGGTGTCTTCTCTCAAGATTGATTTAGCAGTATGACATTCTGTCTGTTTCTTTCAACACAATTATGAAACCCTTTGCATAATCTGCAAGCACTTTTACTTTACATAATCCTCTTGCAGATCAAGCTGCATAAACCATTCCGGGATTATGTTACATTTTTTTTTTTTAAAAAATATGTCTATGGTTGGGATCAACTGGTCAGAATATGATGAGCTTATGTGACATAAACACAAACACACAGATGTGATGAGCTCACGTGGCAATTTTAAATCATCAAATTCATGGCTAGCTTTTGTGTTTCTTCCAATCCTTATAAACTGTATTATCTATTTATCTACCCCAAGTGAATTTTTTCTTATTTCTTTTACCATATCTATTGTTTGCTAAATCTTGGAAGGGCCTTGGACTAGATTAGTTGCTTTATGAGTTATCTATACTCTGAGATGTTTGCACTTGAGACATGGTAGCTTTGCCAATGCAGGATTCATATAACACTAGTTTTTATAGTTTCTATTGTTTCTTTATGATTCCTCTAGTTACTCATTCCATATGTATGTGTTTTTAAAGGTTAGGATTGATCTCATCGGATCCAATGGTATGGTACTTGCAAGCTCAAGGCGTCCATGCATGCTGCACTTCAAAAGCTTGCCTATACGCCTTTTGTTAACATTCCTCAAGGCTGCTCCTCTAATTACAGGCTACTCATCAGAATCCCAATATTTGGACATAGAGTTTAAAGGCTTCACCGAAGGTGATATGCCTACCTCCTGCATCCGGGTAGTCATAGAGCAACGAGCTGAATTTCATCCAGGAGGTGGAATTCCTCAACTATATTCCGCTAATCTAATTCTGGAGTCTGAACTCCCTCTACACAAAAAGATTATATGGTATTGGAAGACAACTCTGTTCGTATGGATTAGCATGACATTGTTTACAGTGGAGTTGTTGTTTGCTCTACTCTGCTGCAAACCACTCGTCATCCCAAGAATACGATTGGTGCAATCTCCTCCTACTAATCACGCTTCAAGGAACAATCCTTCAACCCAAGGTTAGCAGTTCACACCCTTTCACCTGATTAAGCGTTCTCGCATGGTTTGATCTCTTGTCGATGCACTTACCATTTTCTCCTACCCTTGTAAAGAATAGCCATATAAACAAGAATTACAATCCCCTTTATTCTTTCTTCAAACCCAGAAAGCATCATCTTTATCAAACCATAGATGAATAGATACCTCTCTTAGTTTCTGATGTTCAAAACTGTCTGTAACTCTGTATATTGTAATTTTCCCAAGTTTTAGTTTTCGAACGACTCAAAAGATAATACATAATAGACAACTCTCTCTTAGGCTCTTGTACTTTAGCCTTCTCATTCAGTGCATGAAATGTGTAATATTGAAATAGTTTCCATTACTACCTGGTTGTACCTGGTACCATTGAAAATCATTATTTATAATACCTGTTTTCATAATACCTTATACAATCATAGACTGTATTATTTGAAGTTTCAATAATACTAAAGTATAATTCATTATTGTACCTGATATTATTAAAATCGTTTTATATGGTTCTTAGATTGAAATTATTCCACATAATATTAGGCACAATCAGATATTGTACTTGAAAATGGTTTTCATTTTTCAATGGTATTAGGTACAATCAAGTCTATTGGAAACCATTTCAATTGTAGTGTGCTTTGTTGCTGATCAGCAGGATAGAATTTCTTTGTTGTTATTTTCTGTGTGTCCAGCAAATACATGCAGAATTATTTTCAGGAATTTAATTCACCAAATAGCCTCTAAAGGAAATACAATTTTTTTGCTCAAATATTAATTCATTTCTAGAAAGGAGTACAAAAGAATAGCAACTTTCTATGCTACATTGGGCTCTACAAAGAGAAGCTGCAATTGTATTTAAAGCATATTTATTTCTATACCGCTTTAAGAAATGAAATAAAGCATCATGAACACCTATACCTTTTAGTGTGACACACTATAAAACTTTCCCATAACAAGTTATCATGGAAAACCATAACCCAGCCAAGTTGACTAAAGATACAAAATTGTAATCACAATGTTACGAGTTTGAATCTCAGTCTTCTTGGTTTTAACCGGTTTGTTATAGGAAATCTGGATTTACTCAGTGCACTATGTATCAAATAGTGATTGCGAGTTTCTCTCGTCGCCCCAAAAGAAATTATTGTTTGTTTTTGAGCCTGAGGATGTTGTAGACCCATGCACCTGCAATGGCCCCTGCAGTTGGACCCAACATATATATCCATATTCCTCTGTATCTATTTGATACTATTGCTGGACCCAAACTCCTTGCTGGATTCATTGATGCCCCTGTTATTGGCCTGCACCAAGGTACACTACTCATTTACAATTTAATTTGCGGTTTGATATCCGTATCAGTGTTGATAGTATCTAGTACAATTTTTTTTTTTTTTTTGAAAATCTAGTACAATTAGTTATACTTGATTATTTATATAGGTGTACAAAGTGCAACATGACACCATAAAACAAAACAAAACAAAACAAAAATAGTTGTACCCGGTGAACATGACATTGAGCAAAATGGTAGCTCCAATAACCACGCCCGCAAGTTCTCCGACCTGAAATAACAAAGTACTATATTTGTTAGGAAATTTTTATTCTCGAGAAGAATATGATGGCACCATAAAATTATTTTCTAACTTACCGCTCGAGTATCAGTAGCAACACTTGAAATGACGAACACGAGGTAGAATGTTATTATGAACTCGATGATAAGAGATTGCAAATTCGATCCCGCTGGAGCTGTTCCGACGAAGTGATCATGTTCTCCGTTAAATATTAGCCGTAAGGTTCCACTTGCTGCGGTTGCTCCGATCATCTGAGCTAGTATATAAGCAGGTACCTTAAAACACACAAAATTAAACAACGTTTTCAGTTAGGAGTTAGGACAATAAAAGGTAACATTTAGCATGGCCAGCAAATTCTGCAAATTACTTCATGCAAGATAATAACACTCACTACCATTATATCGTGATATCCTAAACACTAGTGTTTCATCAAAAAAAAAAAAAAAAAAAAAAAAACAATGATGAATTATGAGAACGGTGGTCGGTATATATATTACAAATTTTAGAAATTTTTCTTATACACAATTTTCATATTTCAAAGTAAAATAACACTTTTAATCTTGAATTATACAAAAATATATATCATTTTTCCTCCCTCGGTTTTACTGTCACCACTTTTCGTCCCTTAATAGTTTGCAAAGTGACTTATTTGGTCCCTCATCAACGTTTGCGAAATAACTTTTTTAGCACAATTCCCATAGAACTCAAGGCCTATAAAAGTCACTTTGTAGACAATTAAGTCACTTTGTAGACAATTTCCTAATACTTGATAGTTGAAGGATGGAAAATGTTATTTTTTAAGACTTTTTTGTTTAAACAATCTCATGATTTTTACGAGGTAAAATATCTGTTCTATATTTTATATGGAAAATCATCTTATAATCACCTATTTAGAATAGTAAGAGGTGCCATCACACATTCACACCACATAATGGTTGGTTTATTTCCTAATAATTTAGAAACAAAAAAATCTAACTTTCCGTATTAGGAAATGAACCCATTTATTATAAAAAGAGTTAATACCCAAAATGGTCCCTCGACTATGCCATAATTATCAATTTGGTCCTCAACTACCATTCTTACCCAATTAAGTCCTCAACTATGTAACTTTTACTCAATTAAGTCCTCAACTATACAATTCTTACCAAATTTAGTCCTCAACTATACAATTCTTACCCAATTTAGTCCTCTGTATTAATTTGACTGTTTGTTGACTGTCAAAAGTCGGGATAAAATTATAATTTTACAAGATTTCTCCTTCATCTCCATTTAGCAGCGCCAAACCATGCAGCAATACACTCCGATCAGATTTCGATCGTCAAAAAATTGTTGGAAATCAAATTCATGGGCTATCCGATGCATAACCACTACTTCGATACTGACAAGTTTAGAACCCAACCGGAGCTTATTGCTACATGGTTTGGCGCTGCTAAATGAGGAGGAAGGAGAAAACTTGTAAAATTACAACTTTATTTCCACTTTTGACAGTCAACAAACAGTCAAATTGACAAAGAACTAAATTGGGTAAAAATTGTATAGTTGAGGACTTAATTGGGTAAGAATGATAGTCGAGGACCAAATTGGTAATCAATTACGACATAGTCGAGGGACTATTTTGGGTATTAACTCTTATAAAAATATAGCGTATTCTTAAATCTTACTTGTGCACAGGGGAACCTTCTGCAGGTGGCAAAAGCAATGGTGACGGCGGGGTTGAAATGCGCGCCGGAGATATGGCCGACGGAGTAGATCATGGCAACCGCCGCCAGCCCCCACACGATGGCTACTCCGGGGAACGTCACCGTCCCCTTGTCGGCGTTCACCGCCGCCGCCCCACACCCGGCGAAAATCAAGAAATACGTCCCAAAAATCTCCGCAATCACCTGCACACACAAATTAAAGAATTAGCAAACCACAAAAACCAAACCTCAAAATTAAACACCTACAGTATACCCAGAAATCTCAGGAAGATATAAACCAAACCTTCTGGATAAAGGGAAGAGTGAAAATGAAGTTATTATTGCAGGTTGTTTCAGATGCATCATCTGCAGTATGATGATGATGATGATCATCGCTGATATCCAAAGCCACTGAATGCTCTCCATGATTCCCTGCCATCTCTGATATATATATCTCTCCTATATATCCAATTCAAAAAATTATATAAATCTGATATATAGAGGAATTGATAGTTGGTGAGTGAATGAAGTTAGTTGTAGGAAATATGGGTATTTATAGAGGCATATAGGCACAGGGTTTTCCTGGAAAGAGAGTGTGTTGAACTGGGCAAACTTGATGAACAGTACACCTTCCATGCATATACTATACAGTGGACTTGACCTAGCTAGCTAAGCTAAACTATATTTTCTTACTATATTTTAATTGAGAGTCGCAATCATAAGAGTATTCATATTTATTAGGAATTGAGACTTTGAGAGTCTATAACAACAATTTTTCTCTACCAAATGGTCTTACATGGTGACTTTATGCAAAATATATATTTTGTCCATCCCGGCATTTTATGTGTGAAATTTTATTATTTGTGTTTGACTCAAGCTATTTATTATTCAATTTTTATAATATTTTGTTGGACATTAACTTGAAAAGTCAAGTTCAGTATCATATCATCGAAACATAACAGCTACTACCCAACTATAAGAAAATAAAATTGTATTTTTATTACTAGCTATAAATTTTGGTGTAATGATAAACGCTTGATCTGACAATTGAATTAAATTATTTTTTCATTACTAGTAGCTATAACTTTAATTTGGCCGGTGTGCTTTCGCTACTTACTAGTGTTTGATCCAAACATATTTAGTAGTAAGTATTTTAGCCACTAATAATTTGTTATGATGTTAAAAGTAAAACAGTAAGGGGTGTGATTATTATTAACTAATTTTTTTTTTAATAAATGAAAAAACTTGTGAAAAAAAAAAGGAGAAGCCAACAGAATAAAAACTGGAAAATTGAAATAAATGTAGACATGTAGTTGATCTAAAATCTCGATTGTGTCCTTACAGGATTCAAAGTAAAATTAGTGTCATTAGGTCAGAATTTGAACCAAATCAAAAAAAAAAAAAAAGGTCAGAATTTGAACATGCATGCACATGCAACAACACCTTTAAGATAGCTATATATCCTCCAACAACACCTTTAAGATAGCTATATATCCTCCAATGTGACTCATCTTGTAAATTCGATTTTTTAAAGTAAAATTAGTGGGATCCACTTAATTGGACTTAACTTGGAGGGGTCAATTGATCATTTGGCTTAGATGACCATTGCATAAATAATATTGGTGCATAAGCCAAAGGTTCAACCAAGGACGCCGTCATCGCCGGCGGCCACCACGCAGTGCATTATGCATGGACTACTTCATAAAATATCTTGTCGTCTAAGAGGGTTTCCCTCAAAACAAGGCTTATTGACGATTGGTTAGGGGTGTAGCATTTAATGTGATAAAAGGGACATGTGTGAATTGGTCTATTTGGATACATATATATAAAGAAATTTTCTAAACTTGACCCCATTACATACTTTTGTTTACACATTCCAAATATTCATTAATTCCACCCAATTTAATTAAAATATACTGTCAAGCCACCTTGTGCTCAGATGACATATATTCACATCTCCTATGTAGGAGATCATGAGATCAAGCCTCAATGGAGGCGTTGTTGACTTTGTGTACTTCATTAGGTTAGGTTGAGAAAGTATGTTTGAACATATACTACAATGTAATAGAGTCAGTAGCATTTTTTTGCGAGTGGAAAATTATTAGTTCACACAGTGTTGTATGGACCATAACAAAAAGTATATTTTTAATATACTAAAAGTACATTATTCGTGTATTGAATGTACATTATACAAAATAATATATTTTCAGTACTCAAATAATGTACTTTTCTCAAATATAATGTACATTTTTAATATACTAAAAAAATATTATTTGTGTAATGAATACACATTATTTGATAGTATGATCCACAAAGTTGTGTAGATCATGATTCGCACAATAATGATTGCTTCCGAGCCATCACTTTGGAAAGAATTGTAAAGTTAATTTTTTTTTCTAATAATAAGTGGGAATATTTAATTTATTAATGATATCTAAAATAAAAAAAATACCAATTTTTGTCCGAAGAGTATTAACAAAATGACGGTTTTGGTTCACATGTTTAATTTATATATATCAATTTTCATCCACGACTATTGTTTTAGTACCAAAATTCATCACGCCGGTCACCCATCCATTTAAGAAATGCCAAAATGCCCGCATGGGCAGCTCAACTGGTCATAGAGGTGAAAGTTGGAAAGAATGACCAGGGATCGAGTCTCACCATCGGCGTTGTGAGAGCACCCTCTCAAAGTGAGGGGGGCTCCTTGTGCGCAGTAAGACAAGGTCTAGCCTCTGTGGTTCATGTTCAGTTGAGTTACCATGATTTACATCCTCCCAGATGCTCTGTCGGGCCGGGGTGCCTCTGTGGTTCATGTTCAGTTGAATTACCATGATTTACATCTTCCCAGATGCTCTGTCGGGTGGGGTGTGGGGGGCCCTTAGGGTTGGGGTTCAACCTTTAGAAAGAAGAAATGTTGAAATCTAAAAATTTTAAGGGCGTTTTCATCATTTTCAACTTAAGATTCCAATTTGAGCATGAATATATAAAGGGATTTAAGCCCTTAGATCGATCCTAATTCGCAGGTTTTCTCCTCATCCTACCTTAATTTGATGAGGAGAATTGCGAATTGGGATAGATATTAGGGCTTAAACTCTTTTATTCATACGTACTCAAATTGAGATCTTAATTTAAAAATGGTGAAAATACCCTTAATAATTTCATATTTCGACATATCATAAACGAAGAGGTGACCGACATAATGAATTTTGTCACTAAAACAAAAGTCATATATAAAAGTTGATACTAAAACAATGGCAAATTATGTTGTGGACTCGTGTCCACTATGCATTGTGGACACGAGTCCAAAACGACGTCATTTTCAGGGAAAGCGACAGCATTCCAATTATTATTATTTTTTAAAAATTTTGTCCACTGTTGCAAAATCGCGCCTGGCCTCCTAGGCGACCTAGGCGCCCCCGCCTAGGCGCTCTAGGCGCCCGCCTAGGCGTTATAGGCGCCCGCCTAGGCGCTCTAGCACCCTAGGCGGTCCCCAGGCGCCTAGCGATTTTTTCAACATTGATTTTGTCTCGCCGTTAAGGCGTTAATGGCGTTATTCGTTTGTGGAATTATGAATGAACATTTATGAAATTATGAATGTACAGTTATGAAATTATGAATGTACAGTTATGGAATTATGAACACAGAGCTCTGACATTATAAACTTATAATTATGAACATATAGTGATAAAATTATGAACATTGAGCTCTAAAATTGTGAACATAGAGCTTCGAAAATTATGAATGTACAGTTATTGAATTATGAATGTACAGTTATGGAATTATGAATGTACAGTTATGAAATTATAAACACAGAGCTCTAACATTATGAACTTACAATTATGAACATATAGTAATAAAATTATGAACATAGAGCTCTAAAATTGTGAACATAGAGCTTCAAAAATTATGAATTTACAGTTATTGAACTATGAATGTACAATTACAGAATTATGAATGTACTGTTATGAAATTATGAATATACTGTTATGAAATTATGAATACAGAGCTCTAACATTATGAACTTACAATTATAACATATAGTGATAAAATTATCAACATATGCTCCTATAACGAAGCAGTCTGAAATTAAAAAAAAAATGGTGGAAGATAACGGTGCCACTTACGACACTGTTCCGTGTTCACAATGTATGCTGGACACGAGTCCATAGCATAATGATTGCTAAAATAGTAATCGTGGATGAAAATTGGTAGAAATTAAATATATGGACCAAAATTATCTTCTTGCTAATAATCATGGGACCAAAATTGATTTTTGCTCTAAAAAATTTATAAGTGTGTTCTCAAGAGTCAAGAAGTAAACCCCACGGCACATGCAATGTTATGGTTTTATTAGGTCTAGGGAAAAAAGAAGAAATAAATAACTCATTGTTTAAAATTATATTAATTAGAGCATGTCATGTGAATATGGTAAAAATTAATTAGGAGTATGTGTAGAAATATGTTGCAAAAAAAATCTCAATTAGTGTATTCAAATTTTAGGAATGTTTCCTCATCACAAATTTACTGAAACTTTATAAAATGTTTCAGTATTGTTTTTGGGCCGTAATTTAAAAATTATATATGCTTTTTCTAAAGAAAGTAATAAAGATGAGGATTGTATTATTGAATAGAATCACCGTAACAAAGTCTGTACAATAGTGATATAGAAAGATAGACAGAGACCCCTAACAGGCTATAAATATAGGAGTCCTAATAGGCTAATACTCTCCCTCAAATTCAAGGTAGAGCAGCTAAAACATTGAGTTTGCCTCGTAGATAAGAAAACCGAGCAGATGGAAGAACTTTGGTAAAAATGTCAGCCAACTGATCCTTCGTAGAGATACACTACTGGAAATTATTGAATTTCCGACCACCTGAATGTGATCTTAAATCAAGTTGAAACCAAAAAGTGGTCGGAAATAGCAACAAGGGTTTTTCCGGATACTAAAAGTGGTCGGAACAAGGCTTTCGACTTGATTTAAGATAACTTTCAGGTGGTCGGAAATTTCAAAATTTCCAGTAGTGATAAAACGAACCTGAATCTCTTTCTTGGACACTTTGTCACGAACGAAGTGGTAATCAATCTCCACATGCTTCGTTCGGGCATGAAACACCGGGTTTGAACAGAGATAGGTGACACCCAAGTTGTCACACCAGAGAGTAGGAGCAGTAGCCGGTGGAAACCCAATATCCCGAAGGCCGAAGCAGTGAAACAAGCCACGTAACCTCAGCCGAGACATCAGCCAAGGCTTTGTACTCAGCCTCAGTAGAAGAACGCGCCACAGTGCGCTGTTTCCGACATGACCAAGAAACCAGATTGTTACCCACATAGACCGCAAAACCACTCGTGGACTTCCTGTCATCCGGATTGCCAGCCCAATTCGAATCGGAGAAAGCATGAATAGTAGTAGACAAGGACTTGCGAACACAAAGCCCCAAATCAAGTGTACCTTTGACGTACCGCAAGACCCGTTTCATCAGACTCCAATCTGCCGTGGTAGGAGACTGCATACGCTGACAAAGCCGATTAACCGCATAAGATAAGTCCGGACGAGTCACAGTCAAGTACTGTAAGGCACCAGCCAAACTACGGTAGTGAGTAGGATCCGCGTAA